TTGAAGGTCACGGCTGTGCCATCAAAGGATTGGGACATAGTCGTACCGCAAAAGACCTGGTTGTCGTGGTACTCGATGGATCCAAACTTGAATCGATGCAGTAGCACATGAAGTCGTTCTGCAAAGCAGCATGGTTGATCACCTTGTGGGGCGATTGCGTCGTCAGGGCTGTTGACGCCCTCACCGCAGGCCATGATGTCATCCACGTGGATTCCAAAAAGTCCATCCACGACCCATCGTTGTCCATCCATCTCGAAGACACAGAACTCGTGGTCGTCCTTGGTGGCCAAGCGGACAGAGATGTAGATGCACCCGTCCAGCTCATGCTTGAGCAAACCAACTTCGCACACCAAGGCTTTGTCAGCTGTTTCATTCCACTGTCGAGGTGCCCGGACGTCACCGAAGGCAGGCTTGGTCATCTGCATGACTTGGTGTTCCAAGAGTCCAATCATCTCTGCAAGCAACCGACGCATGTCAGCTGATGGCTCACCGTAGATCTCGACCTCCTGGTGGATGTAGTTGCTCTGAAGGAAAGCACTCTTGACATCCATGGTGCCAACACGCCATCGTTTGGTGCAGGCAAAGAGGATCATGAGATACTTGCCCAACCTTGAGAGTGTTGGTGACTCGGTGTCAAGCTTGGACTCCACCACGTCTTTGTGCTTGAAGCCTTGCAGGATGACTCTCGCATGGGGCTTGTTCTCCTTATAGCGCAAGAGAAAGCGCATGGAAACCAGTGTGCCTTTGGGGCATCGAGCTCGGTCCACATGGTCGCCAGGCATCATTCTCAGTCCAGGGTGCCAAAGCTTTTCTCTTGGCCTCGACAAACGTCTTGCGCTCTTCAGGGCTCAGACGGCTTTCGACCACCGTCTGCAAGATCTCTTCTTGAGCGATCTCGACCATGCGGATCTCTTCAGTCCTGGCTTGCTTCTGTTGAGGTTGCCCGTCATGAGCACGAGGTGGTAGGCCATCAAGTCGTCGAGCTTGATTGTCAGAAAGTTGACCAGCCAGTCGGATTGCCCTTTCATAGTCCCGTCGCTCTCGAGCACGGTCATCTCCTCCAGGGTCGTTGACGGAGGGGTTCTCGGCAATGTCATTTCGAGCCTCCAAGGCATCTGGGTTGATTTGTCTCATCACCTCCTTCATTGTTTTCTGTTCATCAGTCATGAGATCTTCAGGCGCTACCGCCTGATCATCTTCGGCTTGCTCTGTTTCCCCTTCCGGAAGTTCTGCCCCAAATCCAAGTCCAAAGGGTGAATCTCCTCCAGTCGGGAACTTCTCACGAGCCATTGCAACCGTTCTCATCTCAGCCTTGTGCTTCTCCTTGTCTCTGTGCTTTCTTCGTTTCTTCTTCTTCTTCTTGACCACGCCCTCGCCGGTTTCGTGTTCTTCCTCATCTTCAGATTCGGCCGTTTTTGGTGGATCAGCCGGTTCATGAGGTGGCATTGAAGTGGTAGTAGGTGCCGGCATTGATGAAGCGTGAGTGGAATCGTGTCCCCCCAAAGAAGGGAAATCATCAGGAGTCTGGGCCTTGGCGGCTAAGTCCAACCCGCGCACTGGCCCACGCACAGGACGGAGAGCTTGAAGAACTCGCTCAGCCATGGGTCGTTGAAGATCATTTTCAGCTCCAGGTCGGAGTTGCCGTTCATAGCGTTCAGGGACAGTTTCATGTCGAAGCTGTTGTCTCGTGGCACGGACCAAAGAGCTTCCATGGACAATCCAGTAGATCATGTTGGCCCGATCCATAGCGGCCTCCACTGCAATGACCATGCAGGGGCCTCTCCATCGGAAAGGATCAAGCTTGTGAGTCTGAGGCTTCCAGTAGAAGACGTAGTCCCCCACCATGAGTTCATCTTCCTCGACTCGAGACCGAGCCAGAGCTGCAGCACGAAGTGCCAGATCTTGGTTCGCCTTGTGAAAGGCAATGGCGGCCTTCTGCTTGACCTCCAGGATTCGAGGTAGATCAGCTTGATCTCCAAAGCTTTCGGGGCCAGGTTCATCCATGTTTCCACCTTCAGATGGTACATAGCCAAATGCCAAAGTGGCAGGCGTTGACCCTTTCACTGAGCTGAGCCGATTTCGTTGATGAGCTGTGACTTGAAGAGCCTTGTCAAAGGTGCAGTCAGGCATCTCCTGCTTGAAGACCTCGAGCATCTTCCTGCGAACTGCATGGTTGCGTTCCAGGATGCCAAGATGGCTTGTTCCTCTTGTTCTGGGGTTTGCTTTGCTTCTGGGGGTTTGCTTTTCAGCAGCAAATGAGTGCATGTTGCAGTAAGCAACATACATTGAGACAATGGTGCAAGCAACATACTTTGAGCCCATGGTGCAAGCAACAACATTGAGACAATGGTGCAAGCGACATAGCCATGGCCATTGTTGCAGAGAGCATACATTGAGCCAATGTCACCCGTATTTTTTTGGTACATATACATAGCGCATGATATAACTATGATTTTTTACATAATATGTTTTTCGGGAAGATTTGGGGGGGTGTACGTTTTGTGTTTGCATGTCACAACGCCCTTCAATTCCGGTGCACCATTTAAAACACAATGGGCCAACTGTGTCTTCAGGTTTTTGTTTTGGTGGCATCATAGTTTTAAAAGAAAAGGAACCCAAAGAAAAACCAACAATTTAAGTCAATGGTTGAACAACTATGTTGAACTGAACGTCCCCAATTAAAAAACATTTGTTGGTTTTGGAAAGTTTTGGGGCCCCATTGCAACATGTCCCAAGTATTCATCAATTTTTTCCACCCGCTGATGCTAGTACTGCCGCGTCGCAATCCCTCCAACCATTGGTTGGCCAACGCTCTAAGTAGCTGATAGGCTTCAAAATTCCCTCAAACTTGTAAGTGGCTAACTGGTATCAAAATTTCCTTCAATTTTGTTTGGGAAACCTTTCAAGCCAAATTTTCTTTGGGAAACCTTTCGAGCAGCGAATCTCTAAGATCAGACATTTGATCTCACACTCAGTCAACATCACCTGGCTATTGGCGATGGAGACGGAAACAGATTTGAATACCAACAGTAATGGATATGATACTGATGAAGGAAACACTATTTCAAGAAATGAGTCATAGATAGTGATGGGTTATCCATTGATATAGCCACACCATGAAACCAAAATCCAATGAAATTTGATTTTGAAAAAAAAATCAATGGGGCCTTCCACAGTTTCATCATGCTCCGCCACTTCCTCCTCGCCCTGCTCGGCAGCGTCAAGACCATCAAGCGCTTCATCATCGTTATCCGGAGCCTCTAAGTAGCTTTGAACCATTTGCTCCTGGAAGGGGCAACGGTTTCCAAACACGATAGCTCAAGACTAGAGCATAGTTTGACTTGATAAAGATGCAGTATATCTGTAATATGAATATGGGTTATATGATATATATATGTGATATAATATATATGTGATATAATATATATAAGTGCGAAAAACCACAGAGTGTGAAATAAAATGTATCAGGTTGCAGTCATGCCTGCAATGCTCGACCAGCATCTGCATTGCCATTCGTACGAATGATTTCAGCTTTCACAGCAGCCTTGGTTCATCAAAAGTGTTTCAAATCAAGATTGTGGACAATCCAGCCAAATATCCCAAAACAGCAAGTAAAGGATGATGACATGACATCATGACGTGACATCATGAGACTTCCCAAATTAATCTTCCCAACTTTGAGCTTGGGCGCGACGATGACTTCGCGGACTTCATCGGAGAGGCCAGGGATGCTCTTCAACTGAGCGGTGAAAAAATTTGATTGAACATATTAATATGTTTGATGCTTGGAAAATTTGGCATTGCACTTGTGGATACATTAGATATTTCATCTCATATCATGTCCCATCTTGTCAACTGTCACAGTCCTTTAATTTTTTGCCTAGTCGCAGTCAAGACTTGCTTCCCGTTGACCTTGTATCCATAGACTCCGGTTGGGTACTGGTACGAATACACCTTCAACTTTGGGGCTTCAGAGCTGGCTGGGCGTTTCTTCCCCTTTGCCTTCCCCTTGGGGGTCAATGCCGATGCCGAAGCAGAAGGTCTCTTCATCAGAGTTGGCTTGGGGCTTGCAGTTGCCTTCGGGGTTGCTGGTGGTTTTGCATCCGCATTTGGCGTGCTGGGGGCCTGTTCATTTTTTGGTGTGGTCTTGCTTGACCCAATCTTTGCTTTGGGTTTTGCTTTCGCGCCCGCTTTGTTTTTTTCTTTGGTGCCTGGTTTGGCCTTTGCTTTCGGGACACTAGAGCTGCCTGGCTCCTCATCTGACAACTGGTCAACGCTTTGAAGAACCATTGCAAAAAGCTGGTGATACCCTCTTCCCGACATTTGGGGAAATGCAGCTTTTTGGAAAATGGCTGAAACGTACAATATGCTTCAAAAGATGACTGCATACACTGTTGACATGAGTAGTGACTCAGATTCAACATGAGCTATACCATTTCCGATTTTTTCTCAACATCACGTTGCTTCAGATAGCCACTAATGTGCCATTACAGCACATTCCCAGGCATTTCCCTCGCTGTGGCGGCCAATTCCAAAGCAAACAAAATCAAGATCTATGAATTTAGTTGTGGTTGCAAACTACGATGAAATATGATAAAATTAGTTTGGATCACAGTCCCTTTGATGCCAATCACGCCCCATGAAAAGCTACCAAAATTGCCAATCATTCATGGTCACTTGATTTTGACCGCGCTGGCAGCGCCAATTGACAAATTGCCAAGAAGAAAATACTTTGGTTTCAATGGCGTGAGGGTGCATGGAACACCCTCACTGATCTTGACCTGGTCAGGTGCCCAGAGACATTTGCTTGGCCGTTGGAGAAGCTTGGCTATTGAAGGGTTGATCTGATATTTGTACTGTTATGGAAGGGTTGTAATGAATATCAAAATTTTAAGGGAATAAGAATGGGATAATCTGATAGGAGAATATTTTGGAAGACCATTGAAGGATTGATCTGATACTTGTAGTGTTATGGAAGGGTTGTAATGAATACCAAAGCCTTAAGGAAATAATATTGGGATAATCTGATAGGGGAATATTTTGGAAGACCATTGAAGGATTGATCTGATACTTGTAGTGTTATGGAAGGGTTGTAATGAATACCAAAGCCTTAAGGAAATAATATTGGGATAATCTGATAGGGGAATATTTTGGAAGACCATCCCAGCCTCCCAAATGATATCTGCGTGCGAACATCGCGGCAACTGTGACATGCGTCCATTCCACATGGCCCCCATCATGGCAGATCGCAGAGCCATTTTGTCCTCTGTGATGTCCTTCGGCTTGAAGGCGTTCACTTTTGCTCCTGCTGCCACTTTGAACCTGTAGGCAAGAGGGATCTGTCCTCCATCACCAGCGACCTGCAATCAAGGGAAGATTATAGTTGCTGTCAGGTTGCTGTAGAAACCAATGAAGATTGAATGAAGATATGGACGATCCTTAAATACATGTTAAGATAAAAATAAGCTATGATCTATGAATATCTATGATTTTTTTCTCAATTGCTTTGGAAACATGGCCTTCATCTTCGGTTGAAGCCCGTGGTCAACAACCCGAACTTCCGTAACTCCTCTCGATTTCGTCACTTCACAAAGAACATCAGCCAGGGTGTTCAATGTCTTTGAACCCGATGTAGTGTCACACACCAGCGTTCGATCATCATTGACAAACCAGGGCACGGTCCCAGCTTGCGTGGCACATTGATCTGACAGGGTTTTAGGCTTTGGGGGTCCATTGGGGTTTGCCCTATAACTTTTGAGGAAGACATCATATTACTTGACTGTCGGTGGAAATATACAACAACATTTTGTTTCAAAAGACCAGTCCCGATGGGATCTCCAAGAAAGATCCAGTGTTGAAGCCAAAGAGTTCCCCAGCGGCCAACTCCTTCGCGCTAGTGCCCCTGTTGACAACCCACACACTGTTCAAGCTGGTGACAACCACCTGAAGATCGGGATCCCTCGCCAAGGTAGCACACCCTTCCAACCTCAGATGATAGGAGTATTTGTGAGGAACCTGTATTTGCGGGTTACAAGTTTTCATCTGGTTCCAGAGAATCAAAAAGTTCTGAACAAAATTGGTTGAACTGGAACAAGACACGTATTGGCAGTATCAAAATCAGCCACTGCAATCGAAGAGAGGGAAAGACTCTTTCTCCAGTTCCAGGGGGGGTTCCCATCCCAATCTGGGGAAGCCAAAGTTCTGGTCACTCCACCAGACGCTGCTGCCGCTGAGGACATGGTGTGCGTCTTGATGGCGGTCTGGATGTTGGTCTCCTGGCTGATCTTGTCCTGAAGGGCTTTCAAGGGCTCGGCATGGGACGCCTGGTACTTGGTCACGACCATCTCTGGAATCCTGAGACAAAAGATTTCCATATGCATTTTGTTTTTCTAGTCGGAAGACATGGGTTTTATTTACAAGTGCTGATATGATCTGATATGATCTGATATGATCTGATATGTATAAAAGTGTATAAATAATTTGTCAATTCAATGTATGTATGATTTTGTATATGCACCACCTTGGGGTTCGAAGCAAATGATTCTCGATTTGGATAATCCAAGAATCTTGACCTCGTTCTCACTGACCGTCAAGCACTCCAGCGTTGGCACGTCTTCAGCAAATGGCTCCACTGCGCGCGCAGAAGCCCCCGCTTCTTGACACTTGTCCCACCACTGGTCCATCACGCGCCCAGTCAGCAATGACTTGTGAGACCCCAAGAAGTTGTCCGACTCGTGGTACAAGCTCATGCACCTGACGTCCCAAGCATCGGCGCCATCAGTGCCCAGCAAGAATTCTCGCTGCATTTCCCAGCATGCTTGGCTCCATTCACAGAACCTTCAGGGTTCCATGTCAAAATAATTCATAAGACCATCAAACGGGCATAGTAAGATCATGAAAGGATCATGATAGGATAATATAGAATCATCATAAGATCATATAAGGAATCATTACCAAACAACATGTTTTTTCTGGAACATGGTCCTTGTTGGCATCATATCGACAATGAGCACAGGTTGCTTGCTTGTGGCGTGCATGCCATCCAGCAGTTGCTCCAAGATGAACTTGGTTGCTTCCACCCCGCGCTGTTGCGCCTAATTGGAGATGATGGTGGCTGTTATACAACTAACCCTCGTGTCAAGATATCAGATATCCAAATGAGATAAAAGGTAAACCAAAATATGACTTGTATTATTGCTGACCCGAAACTCTGAAGTGAGGGGACAATGGACGATCGGGATCCGGGTTGGAGAGGTCTTGGACCCGGGCCCGGGGCACATTTGCAATTGTTCCCATCAAGGCCTTGCTCTTGGAGAATGCCACTGTCGTGTGCCCAGAAACTCCAGCCAAGCCTCATGAGGGCTGACATAACTAGCACTCTACTTTGAACAAATGGTTTCAGAAGATTTGGACCATATCTTAATCCAGGTAAAAATGATACTTGAAGAATCTTGAAAACTTGAATCTAAATAATTCCATGGAACACTGTTGTGATCGCTTGCGCTTGTCACCCTGGTGCTGGGCGTCATTGAAGTTGACCGCGATTTCATAGATGTCCAGCACCCTGATCAGAAAGGGGATCACAAGTATTCGTGACATGTTGGAACCAAAAAAGGTGACAACTACTTGCTAAAGAACATCAAATTATTTCAGCCAATGGACCCAACGATTTTATCTTCAAGAAGACGTCGGTTTTTCAAAATCGTTGTCTTTGCCATTGAAGCATGCCATTGCGGTAGCATCCAGAATGAGACAGTGTTTGCATTCCCCGAAGAAATGCTTTGGCACAGGGTCACTGACTCATCAATGCTAAGTACTCCTGAGTTGATCCGGCATTGCAAGATTTCATCTTTTAAAGGACATTTGGGAGAACAAATAGAAAGTTTAGGACATAATAGCCATTAGTGGAACAGTGTTTATCCAAGCATCTGGCCGGCCAAAGTGTGCAGTCACCCACAAGAATCGTCAGCCTTTGCTGTTCAAGATCATTTGTGAATAATAGGATAAAATAGTGGGTTCGATGGTTAAACCAATAGAATCAAAATGGTTTCAGGTTTATATCATGCTTTCAACTAAGAAACCCATCCGCTCCCATCTTGCTCTGTGCTTCCACAATGTGGGAGTGAGCAAGCACCAAGGAAGAGCAGCGATGGAACATCAGCTTCTCCTCCATGTGGGCCCGAATGGAGTCTCGCCCTTTCTGATACCGGTCGTTCAAGTATTTGAAGTCAAGCGCTGCCTGCAAAGCAGCAGTAACAAGTAAAAGGGTTTGTTGATCAACACTTGGTGGGAAAACCATGAGGGCAACATTGTAAAATGATTTATGGCCTGTTTTCCGGCAAACAACTGATACTTCGCCGCCCAGTCAGCCAGCTTTCCCAGGTCCCCTTCGACTTGAAGTTGGCATTGCTCCCAGGTTGTTTGGAGGAGCTGCGCCGAAAGCCTTGCAACAGAATCCATTGATGACACTTTCAACTTGATAGCTCCAAATTTATGTCATCCCATGTTGAATCAGAAGCACCCAAAAAAATATACCTTAACACATCCATAGCACTGTTGGGCACGGGCATCATTGTTTTGGGCCACCTGATGGGTGTGAGTTTTGTCTCAAGAAAAATGCATTCCAACACACATAGAAATCCAACAGCCATACTTGAAAAAAAAACGTATAACATCGTATAACATCGTATAACCGTTGTTTTCAATTGATGATATACCCAAACCTCCTGCTGGTACTTTGCAAGTGGTTGGGCGAAGATGGCAACCCGGGCGATGTCCGCAGGAGGAACGCTCTCCTCAAGAAGTTGCAGCAGGTCTGCATCGCCGTGTCGCATTTCAAACCTGGTGGGGGGCGTTGCAACCCTTGGGCATCAAAGGACATATGATAGAACCCTGCATCAGTCGATATTTTGTTTGGTTCGGGGAAAACAGAAATAGTACTGCAGAAATAGTAGAAGCAACGACTTGTTGATTTCAACCAACGCGGTGGAAGCAAATCTCTGGGGCACTTGGTTCTGAAACTGCTCAACGCATGAAAGGAAGGCACCGCACACTCTTTGCAGTTGGGCCTCAAAAACACATGTCATGGAAGTGTTTGGGAATTGATATGCAACCAAAATATGAAACCATAGATTGTTTCAAATATAAATCTGAACAACAATAATGTTAAGATCAAGTTTCCAATTCTTTGGAGTTCCAAGCTTTTCTCATTTTGGGTGCCAGTGCCAAGAAATCCTTCTCCATGCGAAGTAGCATAAGCTCCACCAACTGGTCTGAGTTTGTGAGCGCATTCCTCCATGGCAACAGAAACCCTGAAGCTGTGGAATGGTTCAGATTCATCAGGTTGTCGGCCAGAGCTTCGTGGGTAATGAACTTCGGCTGTCCATGCTGCCTGGGTAATCTCAACATTGCCAATCGCTAAACAAATTCTTGAAGAATTCCTTTCATGTAAGAACTTCACAAAAGTGGTTTCACAGAAAAACATAATGGTTGGATTGAGGAACCGCACCAATTCGATGAGACCCTCCTTGACCAGCTTCGGAATGTGCTGTAAGAGGTTTACTGCAGCTTTGGATTCCTTTTCCCCCAAGGCATATGCTGAAGCAAATTTGGACATGGATTCGTGGGCCTGGTCAGGGATATAATATGTATATATATATATACACATGCATATATGTTACTCAATGTGGAAAACGAAAAATATATTCTATATAATGATAAAGATTGAATATGTGAAAATCTCATATCGGTTACCAAGGATTCTTTAAATTTCAACATTCCAGCCTCAAGAGCTCGAATGCTCAAGTCTTGGCTAAGACCCGTGCGCTCAAGAAACTCCAATTGATGGAGAATGTTAAATGCGTTGGGTCTGCGGCGCAGGTTTCCAGCCAACGTTACGCCTCTGGAGACAGGCTTGGATTGGTTCAAACCATGGGGATTCAAAAAACATGTTGAAGAATTGATGGTGGGATGATATTAAAATCATAACTGAGATACATTGAGATAATATTAAAGTTATAACCAGTGCAATGACGAATGACAACAACTGGGTGGCCTCTGTTGGTGTTGACGACATTGTTGCCATCAGGCTGCACAGCAGTAGCATACACGGTGCCAAATGACCTGGGATGATTTGACAAGATCAAAAATTGGTAAAGCGCGCATTAAAACAATGTAATCCAGGAAACTTCCGCACATCAGCCGGCAGTTCCTGCAACGCCAACAGAGCTGATGATGTTACCTAGAGTTTGAAGTAAAAAGCACACAGGTTTTTGGTTTTTGGAACCCCGCCTTCAGAAGCTCGGCTTTGTCGAAGCATGCGTACAACACTGTCATCATTGACACGCAGCGGTTCCAGCCTTTCACCAAGAAGACATACCCTGGGTCCATCATGTCTGATGCAGCGCCAAAGTCTATGGCTTTGACAGCCGCCACTGGTGCAGCCAGCCATGCGTTGAGCATGGGGCAAGCCACGATCTTCTCAACTCCAGGGGTGTTCGGATCCGTTAAGAACCCGTTCAGGAGTATCAGCTGGGCTAAGCTGTGCTGTGTGTCCTCAGCCGGAATCTAGAGAGGCAAAAACAGAGATGAGATGAGATCACATATGACCCAAAACAAAGAACCCATGGATAATTAATTTGACAAAGGATCGGTGTCCGACGTGCCTCGCAGCCCAAAGTCTGCCCGGTACGGGCACTGCCACGGCCGCAATGTCAGCGGTGCCGCGTCTTTCCCAAGCTCATGCACACTTGAAAAAGGCCTAAGTACAAAGGGGGCGCAAGTTGTATGTAAGTGTGTTTAAGTGGTAGTATGTAAGGCCAAGGCTGTGAAGAGTTTGCAGGAAACTCAGCCTCGATGAATGCAAAGAACTCCTTTTGCTTGACCTGGCAATCCAAGAGATAGAAATACAGTATGTCCATTGTAAAAAAAAAATACGATTTTGCACCTCAGTCTGAAGAGCACGCTCAAGGAACTTGTCCATTGTCAGGCCGTGAGTCACCACGTTTTCATTCCTGAATGCACTGTGAAATGATATGGGTATTTTATAAAATGGGATTTGCAACTTCAATGTTAATTACCACAAATGCATACAAATGCTGTTGAGTTTCATCCATTCATCAAATATCTTGATATGGGGCATCATGACAGCATGGGGTGGAACAGGTAGCGATTGGTTTGCGCCACCCTTCGAAGTCTTAGCTGCCTTTGATTTACCCTGCGGTGCCCCGCCAGATGCCCGTTTCTTTGGCGACATCCCTGGCAAGGCCGGCGGAAGGAGACCACCAAATTAATTGGTTTTGTGCTGAACCATCAAACTTGAGTATGGATGTTGTGCAGCCTAGATTTTGCACAAATTGACCCATCAGATAGGACTACCATTTTGTGCCGAATCACGACCTGATTCTGCACAAAACATATGGTTTTTCATCCGGGATAAGTTCATCAGATCATTCAAGATTTTCAATCCACATCCAACTGACTAGAACTGATAGGTTTTGTGCCGAATCACGACCCGATTCTGCACAAAACACAGGGTTTCCCAGTGCATCCAAGCTGTGCAGAATGTCCAATGCACAAAATCCATAAGTTGAAAACCTGACCCTGCACAAACTGAGACTTTTTTTTCAGCCATGACTCCTCCGAAGCACTGGCAAGGCCGGACTGGGCCCAAGACTGCCAAATCAGTACGACCCTAAGATTCCTGGTGTGTGCGACCGTCATGATGGATTTTGAATTTTTGAACCCTCAAATTTGATTTCAATTTCAAATGGTTTTTGTAAAAATCAGTCTTGGGCCTATGGTTGCTCTCCCCTGCAACGCATCTAGTGCAGCGATGATGCCTCGTTTACAGCATCGTTAACAATTTTGATTGCTTGAGTCATATCTACCCCTTGTAGCCAAAGTTTTGAAGCGGCTTTGTACAATGATTGTTGGTTTCGAGCCCGACTGTACCGTCTAGCTTCCTCAGCATTAGGCCTTTCCCGCCGAAGCTGCAACCGGTTGGGTGCCTTGCGATCTGTAGTAAAGGAAATCATCATAAGATCTGTATATTGTAAAGGGTTGGTTCAAAGTAGAAATACAAAACGGTGTATGAATCTGAAGAATCACGATCCCAAATAGTGTTATGACTCAGGTTCTGACTGCTTCCAACGATTGACCTTGAACCACGGGGTCTGCAGGTCGTCCAACAGCAGGCCCCAAGTGAGGCAAAGCCCTCAGAAGATGGATGCGGGAACACTTGAGCCACCGACTGTGTTTCAAACATGGGGATACTTGAAGAACCTGGGAACCCCACCAACTGACATCAATGGTGCATGGGTCAAGGATACCATAGGACACGTTCTCCAATTGTTCCGCAGCACTGGGCATATCGAATGGATGGTCACCTTAGAGTCTAACCCACAAGAGATGTCAATTGACCATGAACAGATCACACAAGACTCAAACTATATAAGGCTTTGACGCATGATTCGAGCATACTTCCTCAATGCCTTGTTGTCGTCAGAATTCACGTTGATGGACGGCCCGATGAATCCTGTTGTGCATCATTTGGGGAATCAGGGTTTGGTGGATATCTTCCCAAGCGTGATTTGGGGAATAGCAATGATTTGGGAACCATGATTTGGGGAAACATGGTCCGGGTGTGATTATCAACAACACCTACAATAGCCCCACATCATTTCTATCTACCCACATTTTATGTTCTTGAGTCTTGAGCCTGGGGGAACGTCTCCCTGCACTCTTCGCGCCACGGAGGCTGGAAGGAAAAGAAAGACCTTTGGCTGCCATGCGGCATCGCTCATCCACTGCTTGGTCCTGATGGGATTAATGGCAAAGGATTTTGGGTTTTTGAAATTAATTTTACTTAGCATCCGTCCTCAAAATCACATCGGATGGGCTAGGGGTGTAGCCATACCGATCCCAGAAAGTAGAATCCACAGAGCTTCGAGCGATTCCTGCAACGGCTATGTGGATGTTAAAGTGAGATTCCCACGTGGTTTTAAAAAGTGTTTTGGAAGATTTCCTATTTCTTGAGGCAAGTATGCTGTTATTATACCACACTGATTCCAAAAAGTTGTTTCAATGTCTGTCCTGATGATCCGATTCTTTCAAGTCTCATGGTGTGTGGGGCTCCCGGACCACCGATACCAGTTAGCTGAGCGAATTCAAAGTGATGATGAAGCCAGCTTTTCCTAGGCTAAAGATATTGATGCGGGTTATGCGGGTTAAACATGTCCCGAAATGTACCGAATTTGGGCTTATCTTAACATGCTTAAGCTTCACACCAACAACATAATACCCAAAACCTTTGATGAAATAAGAATTGCAGGGTCCAATCTTTGAACTGGTTGAGCAACACCACTCTTCTCTGGGGTTCATAAGGACGAACTTGTGTATTTTGCATGAACTTTTCCAAACACTGTTGGAAATCTTGGGGTGTCCACAACTCTTTGCATGACTCGATCTCCGATCCAATCACACTGAATAGTGCGTCAATGTCCTCGTGAGAGTGTCCCGAGGTCAAAAAATTGACCTCGGCACCTCCCAGGCAATGCAATGCCGTTTTCATGGCAAGGAAGCGGATTGTTCCGTTGTTCTTGACCTCTTTGCAGCAATTGTCCGCTTGGACATTCAAGAAAACAGTGGTGAGGTCCCCTTTGATGAAGCATTGTCAATCCACCCGCCAGGATCTCTATGGACCGGGATGCATTGGTGGGAACAAGGTGCGAACTGAGGGCTGTAACAACAGCAAAGCCATGAATAATCAGAGTTGTATTTGCCAACCGTGGTCTGTTGAACGATGAAAACTCTTTTGCTGCCATACATTGGCTTCTAGGCCACGAATGCCGCTGAGCTCCCATAGAGTCTAAGATCATTGTGATTTGACATGATCCCAATGTGGTCGCACTGAGTCTTGAAACCGCCCGGGCCCCCCAATACAGCTGGCGGTCCCTCAACTGTCGCCGAAGGTGGCGTTGGAGCATTTCATGCTGGGCTCGCCGAGCTGGAGGACAGTGCCCCAGTTTTTTTATGATAAGACGGTGCTTTACGCACTGGGAACAACGGGAATGATGTGAGAAAAAACGGATTCTCAAAAGATGCTCGAAGTCTGTCTGCCAAACCTGAAGTTGAACAAGTATGGAACCGAATAGTTTTCTTTTCAATGGCTGACTCCCCAAAGAATAGTATCAAAGTAGTTTTGATTGGGTGTGAAAAACTTAAAGGAATGTATCTGCAAAAGAGATTCTTTGCAAAACAACTTCCGGCTCACACCAAGCTCGGGAAAGGCTGCTGTGCACTGACGCCAATAGTCGTTGATACTGCCATGTGGTAAGTGTCTAAGATTTGATCGATCAAGGTTTGGGTCATCAGTTTTTTTCTCAGCATGTCGAGGACGTTTGTTTGAATTGAGCTTGTCTGGAATGTGTTCACCAGCTTCTTGGTAGAGTTGATAAAGGAAACCATGTACCTTTTCCCACTTGGGCGTTGGCAATCTTTTCCCCCGCGCTATATATCGACCATCATATGGGCAGTACTCATCACCTCTTCTAGCTGATGTACTTAAGGTATTGAAGCGATGTTTGCCCACTCCAAAGAGTTTCATGAACCCTCGATTGCACACAGGGTTCCCCAAGAATCGAAGATGCCTCGAACCACGGCAGGTTTCTTGGTCTTGGTTCTTCAGCACTTGGAAGACCTGAGCGTGACTTGGTTTTGAAAGAGTAGTAAGTATAATGGGACAAAATGATATGAAATGGCCGGATCATACTAAAAACACTCATAGAAAATTGATGAGGCCCTGACATGTTGGTCTTTCTCGAGCTTGGTCATACCAGCTAAAGTCACTCGCATTCTCTTCCAGGATTCAAGGTGATTTGGATTGGAGGTGAAAGTACTGAAACATCGAGCTTTGCAACCACACTTGCTTCTAATGAGATTGGCGAGGTATCCAGGGTCATTTGACGATTGACTCCTGCGATACATTGACACCTTCTTCCGAAATCCCCGGGCAGGCATCCTGGGAAAAGTCATCCGCTTGGGCCTTGGGATGGGGGGCCCATTGTTGGGCTCATCGTCGCTGAGAGTGTCCACATTTGAAAGCGGTCCTGCCCCGCACAATGAGTAACAAATACAAGCAAATGACATCATTGACTATTCTGATATTATACGTGTGTCTTCTCTAGTCCAATGATGTTCCGTTGAAAAATCCTTTCTGGTTCAATATAATGTTCGTTAAACATATAAATTTGATTCTGAAATCTTGTGATGATACTTTTAGACATTCACACATGCTGTGATGGTTGACAAATCTATCACACTGCCATCATCGCACCATGAAAGGGTCCTGTAGACATGCTGAGCAGGATTGCTAAAAGCACCTGCGCCAGGAAAAGATGGGGGCTCTGGTGACCAGGTGATTTCTCATGAGAAGGCCTTGAGCAGCGTTGTCACTGAAGTGGGGCCCATTGCAAAAAGCTTCAAATCATAAGTATTGATGCATGCTTCCTAGATGAGATGTGATGTGAATATAGATGAGAGTAGATGTAACCACTGATAAGATGATGGAAACTTTGATATCATCATACGGAAGTTGCAATGTACAGCATGATAAGTAAACAATACTTCATATTCTATTCTATGAACCATTTTTCTGAGTATCTATGAACCATTTTTCTAAGATTCACTGCAAAGATCAAGCTGAGATGGCAGCGGTGAGGATAGCTGAAACTGCATTTGACTTCCGGACATGACAGTACCTGCATAACATAGCCAGCACCACCAGTCTGCAAAGGTCAGAGCGCCGGAAGGTCCAAAAAATCCGCTTTGAGGCCGGCAGCAGGTTGAGTTTCCAAGACATGTGTGACATGAGGTTGTTTCCAAAACTTTTCAGAAGCCCAGAACAGCACCATGTGTGTTTCATCTTTGATCCAAATTCCATATTTTTTCCATCAAACGCAGATTGCAAATTGCACCAAATTGGAACATATCCACGAATTGAATTGATCATATTTGGTCACATGATCAAAGCAAGTGGGGCTACGTGTCCCACATAGAAAAGAGGCAATGGAAAGCGTAGTTTGCCATTGCCGGTACGACAATATTGCCGCATACGGCCAGCCTCTCTTTGGCCTCTGGGGTGACTTTCTGTGTCAGCCACCGTTGCAAAGGCAGTTGCCAAGAACCTCGCATCCACTTCCTATGGGTCAAAGCCTTGAGCTTCTCAGTCGACATCATCTTTCTGTCCTTTCAAATTGCTCAAAACTTCGAAATTAAAATGTCATTGGATGTTTTTTTTTGTTGGGGTGGTCCTGGAAGAACTTGAATTGGGGCTGCGCCAACAGCAGGAACACACGTTCTCGAAAGATCTTAGCTGAGAGCAGCAGCCTATGTTTCAAAAATTCAGTGGTGATGCATGGACATATCTATCAATGAATCAATAAAATGCAGTAAGTCTAAATCTATGTGTATATATATATATATCGAACCATTCAAGAATGCCCCAGACATCAATTCGTGAAAAACATAGCTGAGTTCCACGCTGGTGCTCCAACATTGTGTCCATTCACAGTGGCCCAGGTGAGCCGTAAACCACGGTGCTCAGCAGCCTGCGCAAGCTCCCAGTGGGAGGTTATAGGGCTAAAGGTAGGGTTTTGCCTCCATCAGAAAATCCATAACTGCCCGAAGTTTTGGAGACAAAAGCGCCCCGACATTTTCAAGGATGATGAAGCGCCTTTCAAGGGTTTGATCAAGAGCTTGTTCAATGTCGATAACGGTCGATCAACTGGATCTATCATCATATTGAAAAAATATATCATATCTGTTCATTAATTAGGGTCAAGATTCAGCGCCATGCCATTTGCAACTCCTTCATCCCAAAGTCGGAAAATCTCCCTGACTAAGCAGGACCGTGGATCTTGTAGTCCTTGCTGTCCTCCAGCCTTTGATATTCCCTGCCGAGGTGACATGTCTTGGAAAGGTCTGGGGCCCTATGGATTGGAAATTTATCACATAGGCATGTTTAAAAAAACACCGGCCTGGCAAGGGAAGCCAGCCAAAAACCCAGTGATGTCTCTTCCAAGATCAGGGGCATGTATTTCAGTGATGTCATGGTGGATCACGCCATCATCCAACAGACCATCCAGGATTCTCTGGGCAATCACCTTTCTGCAGTAGGCCGCCTTCTCAACCTTAGGCGAAGTGTTTAGACAAAGAATTGAGGATATCGAAAGTTGAGTTCAGCAAATTTGGATCATCTATTCCTGGGATACCCCACATAGCTTGTCACCTTCACAAACCTTAGCATTAAGTGAGGAAACGGTATCTTCAACCAAGATGTGATAGCTTCAAAGTATCCGCATACTCCAGAAAACAGGGATGCCACTTTGTGACGGCAGTCCTGCAACTCATAAAACTTTTAATCATGTTTCAATAAAATCATGTTTCCGTAAAATCTGTGTCAATAAAACCCCAGAGAATCCCATGAAGATGTTAAAGAGAACATTGAGTCAGTAGTCTCAGCCACTCACTCCTGGCGGTACTCTGGAGAAAGCCACGGATACAAATCCTCCAGCTTGGTCTTGACACTTTGAGGCTCCAGCTTGGTCCAACCAGGCGGCAAGCCTGAGGCAAGGGCCCCAGAGGGATCAAACTTTCCAATCAAAGCTGTTAGCCCAGCCTGAGAGCCACTCAGCGGTTTCAGGACGGCAGTAAGTGCCTTTGTCACAGTTCTTGGCCTTGCATTTCTTGGTGTAGGCATCCCACCAAAAAACCTGTGAAGCAAAGTCCTTGGTTCTTGAAATAAGCTGCTGAATGTTGCAACATTGATACAAAAAAACAACTAAGATATACTAAGATTCAAACTCGCGATCCCCGAAGGGATAAGAAAGACCTGTTTGCCTTCCACGTCGACCCAAAGCATCCTGGGCTGATGCAAGGCCAATGGATGCCAATGGTGTGATTTAAAAGCCAGGAACTCAGCCCTTTGCTGATACATCCGAAGGATTTGAGAGTGATTGGCGAAGACAGCACTTTTCCCTTCTTGGGCAGCCGGCTGCCCTTTTTTGGTGGTTTGGGAACCTCAAGCCACCACTGAGAACACAAAAGACATGACATGAGGTAGAAGTTTCAAAAAATTATGATTGATTGCATTGGTTGCATCCAAAAGTCCAACTTGATTTCATAGGGGGTCCATGGAAGTTGTGGCAAGAACCATGGGCGGTGAACTCGCCAGGCACCACCTTCAAGGCTCTCACCAAACTTTGGGAGACGAGCCACCTTCCAAATGAATTCAAACCAAAACCCAAGCACTTCTCCGAAAAGCAACATCCGAGGCTGGCCTTCTCCGGAACTGGCTGAGGCCTAGGCGCGGCAAATTGCTTGAAGCGATCAATGGAACAATGGGGCTGAGGTGTGCACTGAACAACATCAGGCATTGGATGATCTTCAGAACTCAGGTTGACAAACAATAGTGAGCACTCAAGTAATTACTAGGTTGACAAGTAATAAACAGGCATTGAAACTGAGTATCTTGCTCACTTAAGGTGTCCACAGCTTGGAGAGGCATGGTTTCAAAGGGCAGTTCAGCTACAGTGAAAATGATAAACAGATCTCAACATGAGCCATGAGTGTAATTTTGAGATACATGATGGTGGCACATTTCTTGTAATAAGATTCATGTCGGTTTGTTTATGATCTCTCGCCATCCGCCCGGGAAAAGTTGCAGCGCTGTGGGAGGTAACTTTTATTGAAGATGGAGTCAATCAACTGCAAGGTGCTTCCTGGACGTGTCTTACTAGTTAACTCCACTTGTAAACTTAGTAGGCTTTCCAAACCGAGCTCGCAACTTTTTTTCTGTCACCCCAAGCGATCTTTTTCTTCGGCAGTGCATCAACTTTAATTTAGATACTGCTAGATTACGGCCCCAAGTTGGTGTTCTGCATTTCAATTTCCATTGACTACATGATGGGGTTCAAACACCATTCCAAATCATATGAACGGCATCGATGCTGTCTATCAGCCTCACTCAGCACATCATAAATGGCAATGAAGATTTCCCATGGCTCTGCATGCCTTTCGAAAGCATTGAAGAGGTACTCTTCAACCTGAGCGTGTGAGTGGCTTGGATTTGGATGGACAGCCAAAATGAAGTTAGCAATTTCCGCTGGGGTTTTCACTGCATCAAGGACCTGCATGATGAACCGGTTTCGCAGGATGAGCTGTTCCTCCAAAAAAAAAGGTTTAGTTCACAGGGTCCAGTTTCACTGCATTAAGTTTCACTGCGTTCAGTTTCACTGCGTTCAGTTTCACTGGTTTCAGTTTCACTGCGTTCAGTTTCACTGCGTTTACTGCAGTTTCACTTCCTTGGCCAAATTGAGGCTTGGGCAATGTAGTTGGACACACTGTCCCCAGTGATCATCACATCGCCATCGCTCCCCTCAATTCAGGATCACACATATTATTTTCAAAATTTTATAGCTGGGGATGAACTTTGGATGCGCACGCCTCATCTTCTGTGGCAACATTGCTGGGATCAGGAGTTGGTACAGCACGGACCTAGCAAACAACTTGTATGATTTTGTATGACACCATCACAGGATGATCCTTGTAACTAACTTAGAGTGTGGCAGTGGCAACGGCATTGGCAGGTCTGTTGTTGACAGGAGTTCCCGTTGACCTAAAACAAAACGTGCAATTTGGAAACCCTCCATGATAATTGCTGTGCCACTAAAAAAGGATAAATAAGGCTGCCACCGTACGACCATTGCGTTCTTAGTTCCGATTTTGCACAATGAAGTAATGATTGACTTAACCATCTTATCCCAAGCATAGCAGCAAACAATTAATGAACAAACTGAGATAAACTGAGCCTCAATCCGACCGGCGAAGTGCTGAAGGACGGACCGGCAAAGTTGGTGATCTCGAACGAGATCTCAATCGTCCTGCCTGAGATGTTTTTATGTGAGAAATAGTTTGACGCTAAGGTGTCCAATCCAAAAATAGGGCCTGCGTGTGGGAAACCATGATGGTCAAACTGAACCTCATCACATTTGGGCGAATTCAACTCAAACATATCCAAGGTTAAACTTGGGCTAAATGAGATGTAAGGTGCTGGCCAAAAAGCTGCCGAACCCCTGGCAAAAGCACAAAAAACTGATGCTACATTTAATTTTTTGGGTTGGATTTACCCCACCTCGTTTTGAAGCAAGCCCACGAGGGGCCAAAGGGATACCAGGGCCAAAAGCTAAAGATGGACGAGGCCGCGAGCGAAGACAACAAAACATAATAATTACCCACATGGATTACCTTAAACCCCACCAAAATATGATATATATATATATTCAATAGATATGTCACATAGAGACAAAAAAATATAGTGAGTCATATAAATATGTCACATGTTCTTTATGTTGGGCGACTCTTGGCTCAATGTATGTTGCTTGCACCATTGTCTCAATCTTTGTTGCTTGCACGATTGTCTCAATGTTTGTTGCTTGCACCATTGTCTCAATGTTTGTTGCTTGCACCATGGGCTCAAAGTATGTTGCTTGCACCATGGGCTCAAAGTATGTTGCTTGCACCATTGTCTCAATGTATGTTGCTTACTGCAACATGCACTCATTTGCTGCTGAAAAGCAAACCCCCAGAAGCAAAGCAAACCCCAGAACAAGAGGAACAAGCCATCAAGTCTGTGATGAGCTCCACGAGGAATGAGTTCAAGTCGGATGCCGTGCGCTGATGCCCAATCTGCATAGGCTTCACCTTGATGGGGACCAGAAGCATCCAGTCGAAGCACCTTGGGGTAGCCGAAGGATTTCGACCACACCGACTCAAACAAGCCAATCTCCATCTCGGCTGTTTCTTCTTTGATTTCGCAGTCAACCTCATATCGGCTGAACTCATCCAAGATGGACAAAACTGCCTTTTTCTCCTTGTCCCACTCCAGGTAGAAGGTGTCCAAAGCCACAGTGTGATTGAAGTGTGGGCTTTTGTGAAGGGTTGCAACCTTCACACATTTTGGTTTCGCCTTTGCTAGGCACCGAGGACACTTGTAGCGTCGAGCCACTTGCACATACTCGTCAGGCATGTGTCTGACCTTGGCAGCTAATGCCAACTTGGATCCATTGGGGTGTCCAAGCTGTCGATGCAGTAAGGCCACTGACTTGAGGACTTCAGTGCCCCCAATCTTGACCAATTCCTTGTTCTGCTCCAAGTACTGCATCTCTTCGTTGGATTTCTCCACCATGTCGAGCATCATGAGGTCAGCTTGGCCACGTCGGATCCAGATCTCCTCCATGGACTGGTAGATGGCGTTGCCCATTCGTCGAACCATGTCGGGCTCGTAGTTTTGCATCTTCTTCAAAACTGCTCCACGGCCCATCATCTGAGTGTGCCCGTTGGTGCACTGACAGCGCAAGTTGACAGATTCGCACACCCGTCTCGCTGAAGACCGGATCATGGTGGGCTTCCGCACATATCTGGGATCATCAGGCGATGCCTTAAGTCCAGTTCGGCATCTGTCCAAGACGGTCTCAAAGTAGCCCTTCACCCGCTGGAGTGTGTCAGTCTTCCAAGACATAGCGTCAGCTGGTTGCTCCAGAGTGTAGTCAGCATGGATTGCTTTGCAATCGTTGTGGACGTTCTCGTAGAACTTCAGGTGCGTCTCCTCTTCCAGGTTTCGCATGTCCTGCAGGAGTTTCTTCTGTTCAGGAGTCTTGTAGTTCATGTTTTGCATGGGAGACCACAGACGGCACTCTGGTGCCATGAGCACGTGGTGAGGTTTCTCCTCAGCCAGCATTTTGCGGAAGTCTCGTTGAGCTTCCCTGCATTCAAAGTTCCATTGTGGAAGAGAGAATTGATGGACCTCCACGTCGGGGAAGTTCTTGATCAGATACTTGCCCAGGTTGCCTTCGTCGACGTAGACCTCCCAGAACTTCAGTTTTCTGTCGCTCAGCTTGCTCTTCTCGACAGCGCTGAACACACATTGATCGATCATGTCTTCACCGACATCAACTTCCAAGTCCATCTCCTCGTCAGAGATCTGCTCGGTGATGACGCTGTCCAAGAACACCTGTTCGTCGTCGTCGTTCTTCACAAAGAGGTCGCTGATCTGCAAGACATCCTGCAAGTCGTCGAAGATGTTGATCATGTAGTGCCCGTTGGCCGTCAGGACAGGTTTAATCTCCACACCGTCGATGTAGATCATCTTCTTACCGTAGTCCACCATGACGTTCCAAGCTTCCAGATCAGGTCGTGCAAGAAGTAAAGGTGTGTGACCGGGCAGCACATGAATCACCAGATCTCTCCAGGTCTTGCCAACACAAACTGGTGTTCTGGCACAGTAGTGAGATCGCACAGTGACCCCATCACCGAACCTGAAATCCCTTGAATCTCGAACAACTTCAGCTTCAAGGTCACGCATGGTCAGGTACTTGCTGATCCTTTCCCAGGTTGCTTCACCACAAACAGTGCGAGTTGCACCGCTATCCATGATTGCCCAACCAGCTCCTTGGGAGACGTAGTTGATCTCTTCATGCTGGCTGAATTCCCCTGGGATTGGCGTAGCACCATATGGCTCTTCGACCATGTTTGTCTCATCTGGGACTTCTTTGATGCCAGATGCTGGCAATCGATATCGCTTGAATCGAGGACCATGCTGTGAGGTACTCCCACTCGTCGTTGATCGTGCCGTTGTCGATGTCGCTGATGTGGATCCACAGCCCAATGCAAAGGACACCACCTTCCGCAATGACGTCCACATGGTTGACAACGACATGGATGATGACGAGGCCTATGAGACCTACTACTATGACGACGAAGAGGCCTATGAGATCTACTACAACCACGACGAGGACGACTACATGGATGATGCCTACTACCAGGACACTGTGGCCGAGGATGAGATCCCTCAGGACCTCGACGAGGCAACGTTGGTGGTTGAGGATGCCTACATCAACTACTTGGACAGCCGTCGCAAGATGAGGGAATTAGCTCTCTCCCGTGGGTTCTACCCGGTGGTTGCCATCGACATGAATGACAACTACGGCAAGGGTGGTGGTAAATCCTATGGGAAAGGTCGCAACTCAGGCGGTGGAGGCAAATCCAAAGGGAAGTCAAAAGGCAAAGGTGGTGGCAAGAGCAAGGGTAAGGGCAGTGGCAAGAGTTTCAACCAACCACTTCCTGGAGCCCGACGTTTTGTTTTTGGCCGGAAGTCACCTTAGTCAGGGATCTTGCAACACCATCCACGGTCAGATTGCCATTGCACATCGCTTTGACCTGTGGATGTGTCCACCGCGGCACCCCCGATCTCGTCAAGAGATGCCATCCTGCAAGCAGAGGTGGGACGTCAACCTGCAAGTCCTTGAGCTTCTTCAGCATGGTGGCGTGTCTCACCAAGTAGGCCTGTAGCTCTTCTTGGCGTTCTCGCTGGAACTGCTCGAAGAATTCCTGGCACCGTTCTGGTAGTTCAACTTCTTCTTCATGTTGAAACAAGGTGTCCAAGACCTTGACAATGGGCTTGAAGGGGTCGTCCGACAGCTCGATGTCGTCGTAATCGATGCTCTCAGAAGCATCCCAAGCCACGTCTTGTAGCTGAGAAAGCACCAAGAAAGCGCCCTCCACAGCCACTGATGTCCCCCGTCGCCGACATTGTCGTGAGAACAGGTCCAGTCTTCTCCTGAAAGACCGGTAGGTCTTTTGACTAAGCCCCTGAGCTGATGGAGCTGCTTTTGCAAGGCCTGAGTCAAGGCCGCGTTCGAAGCTCTGTTGCCCAGGTGCTCCTCCATCTCCATTGGCCGTCACCACAGCAGTTGCTGTGGGCGGTGTTGGTTGCGCAGCTTTGCTCGCTGCACCATTTCCACCGTTTCCACCACCAGGCATGTTGCCAAAGAGCTCGGCCAAGCCGATGTCCACCGGCAGGAAGTAGTGAAGCGCCGCGGCAGCCCAGGATGGGCTCCGCTACCAATATCGATCTAGCCCAGGTGGTCCAACAGGATGTAGAACCCAAGCCACCCAAGACAAAGACCAGCCAAGCAGCGCACAAGGTCTGCGAAGGCAATGCTCTGTTTTCCAATCTCGCCAAAGGAAGCGGTTGAACCGCACGTACCATGTCCTACCCAAGGGCGCCCTGTGCGCACAGTTGGGCCGCGACAGCGGCGGACATTGAAGTCCTTAGAAATCGACCTGTGCACAACAGGTACAAGAGATGGTGTGAACCTTACATCGACACATTCATTTATTCATGCATGCATGCATGCATGCATGCATTTATGCATGCATGTCATTCATTCATTTTTTCATTCATTGATTCATCCATTCATTCATTCATTCATTCATCCATCCATTCATTCATTCTTTCATTCATTCATTCACTCATTTCATTCATTCATTTCATTCATTCATCCATTCATTCATTCATCCGTTCCATTCCACTCCATTCCATTCCATTCCATGCCATGCCATGCCATGCCATTCAATTCAATTCATTCATTCATTCATTCATGCATGCATGCATTCATTCATTCATTCAATTCATTCATTCATTCATTTCATTCATTCATTCATTCAGTCATTCAGTCATTCAGTCATTCAGTCATTCAGTCATTCAGTCATTCAGTCATTCAGTCATTCAGTCATTCAGTCATTCAGTCATTCATTCATTTCATTCATTCATTCATTCATTCATTTCATTTCATTTCATTTCATTTCAATTCATTCATTCATTCATTCATTCATTCATTCATTCATTCATTCATTCATTCATTCATTCATTCATTATTTCATTTCATTTCATTTCATTCATTCATGTCATTTCATTTCATTTCATTTCATTTCATTTCATTCATTCATTCATTCATTTCATTTGCTCATTCATTCGTTCGTTTCTTTTCATTTATTTTAAATTTCATTCATTCATACATTCTTTCATTTCACATCATGTCATTTCGTTTTCTTTTGTGTGTTCATTGTTTCTTTTCATTCATTCGTTCCTTCCTTCCTTCCTTTCTTTCCTCCTTTCTTCCTTTCCTCATTCATTTATTTCATCCACTCATTCATTCATCATTTCATTCATTCATTCATGCATTCATTCATTCATGCACTCATTCATTCACTCATTCATTCACTCATGCTTTCATTCATTCAATCATTCGTTAATTCTCGCGTTCATTCGTTCATTTTCTTTCATGTCATTTCATTCGATTTCGTTTCACTTCACTTCGTTTCATTTCATTCCTTTCATTCATTGGTTCCTTGGTTCCTTCGGTCCTTCGGTCCTTCGGTCCTTTCTTCATTCATTGATTCATTGACCCACTCATTGATTCACTCACCCACTAATTCGTCCTTTCACTGCTCCATGCATTGATTTCCTCATTATTTCACGTATTCATTCATTGTCATCTTGCATTGTTCGATTCAGTGGTTGATTTACTGTATTCCTTCACCCTGTCATCCCCCCTTGCATTCACTCATTTGTGTACTCATTGAATCAGTCAACCAGCCAGTAACTCATTCAGTCAGTCGTGCATTTATTCTTTCATGTCCTGTCAGTCATAGGCATCTTAATGATCATGAACTTCACAACCTAAACATTTCATTGCTTCAGTATCTTACAGACATTCCTATAGGCCATTGGTTTCTTCTAGCCATAGTTTTTTCCTCAAAAGTTCCGCTGGCCCTCTGGTATGTCCGGCATGTCATGTAGCATGCAACTGACCAAAGCTGATATATACAAACAGAAATGCCTTCGGTCCTGGAAAAGACATACTTGGAAAAGGCGTGCCCGTGCGTATGAAGAAACAACACAAAGCCAATATCCATGTCATGTAGATATCATTATCTTTCTTCTATGATATCAGCGTAAAGGGCGGTGAACGCACTGGCGGCATACCAGCACCATAAAATGCTGTGCTGAAGGCGCTGTACTTTCAGCTACTGCAAGAAGGTATGGAACAAGCGTGTTTTTATCACTGTCGACTGTCTGTTGCATCGCTGAATGGCCTTTAAAAGCAAGTGGCACCACTTTCATTGCCATGGCTCATAGGGTGAGAGACTGGTCACACCACAAAGCTTGATGCTGGTTTTCCCACTTGCACTGTTTTTACTAGATCCCCACAGGCCAAATGCCAATCGCATGTTCACTATCACTCATCACATGTTATCACATCTGCCTAGGAGCAAGTTGGCACAGGCACAGGAGAGCCCTGGCACTGCTGGTGAGAATACTCGGCAGGGGCCGACTGTTGGTTCGTCAATCAGCGCACTTTGAGCCGACAACCACCATTGAACTTATAGAAACTGACCATGCATGCTTCCAGACTTGAACAATCCTCGTATAGTATGTTCAACAACACAACAATGGCATGTCTCGAAGCTCCAAAAGTTCCACGGTTGTAATGCAAACAGACCATCCACAATGCACTCGCAAGAAATTCGTTTGACCTGCATGGATGAACAGACACATTTTGACCTTGCCAGTTTCACAGCGGCTCAAACGTCATATGTGCACAGTCTTTGCAAGACTTGTGATTTCCGTACATGTCTCACTTGGCCGGACATGCCTTGCCCTTGAATGTACACAGCTCCACCTATTGTGCTGCCGCCATGCACATGGACAAAGACAAAGTTTTGCACTTTGGCGTAGGAGAGCTGCATCTGGTGAACTCGGCAAAAGCCACCTCAGATCGCATCAGCCTCAGCATCATTGTCGAGAAGCCAAGAACGCTTGCCACTGCTGCAAGGTTGTCTTAGGTGACCTGGCAACATCTCAAGCGTGGGTGTTTTTTATAATTTCAGTCTCGAACTTATCGGAAATTGCAAATCGGAAATTGCAAGAACCAATTTTTTTTGCAGTTGGTGCGATTGTATCCTTGTCTTTTCCTTGAACCCATGTGGAAGCACGTGAAGATACAAGAAGAGACTTCTGTTCCCAAATCTATGTTTTGAGAAGGCATTTGACTGACGCTGTTCTGCAGCATCTTTTTCTACCTGTTAAGGAGCTTTGCATATGTAGATCTTTCAGCCTTCCCCATGTCGAGACCGCATGCGGATCTACTACATCTACTCTATGTTTCGATCTTCAGGGAATGCATTCCCTATTCATATTGCAGCGGGCTTGGGCTGGGCTGGGATTTGCAGAATTTATTTTTTCTTTGTGCCGCTTCATGTAATTTCACATCTTCACTGATTCATCATGGGCTTTGCAGCGCAGATCCTGAGTGCATGACTGCGCTTTGACTGTAAATCAGACGGCCCCCATACTGCAGCTTCCTGCCAGGCTAAGGATCTGCGTGTGAGGAGCTCGTGAAGTCAACAAATGATCGCAGCTGATTGCAGCACCATGCAACTTAGAACTTTGGCAAATCATCAGACAATGTAGCGCTGGCAGCTTTTTTTCTCGCCGAAAAACAATCCTCTGGTGAGACATCGGGTGTTGCCACCATTCTCACTACCTGGCAAGATTGTGGACACATAGCTACTAGATGCTACTAGCAAAGGCTCCACTCAAAACCAAAGGCGCTCCAGCAGATCACTCAATACAACTGACATAACTCAACCCCACTCGGCCATGCCTTGTAAGCTTCAGCAACAACATCCCTCGCAAACAAAACTAGCAAGTTTCGGCGCTTTCGGTCGGTGCATTCAGACAAGAAAGCTGCTATGTTGATAATTTCTTGCAATGCATACATTTCCAACCTCAAAGTTCTGAGACTGCAATGCACAAAAGCGAGTCCCAAGAGCTAAAAGCGCCTTTTTCTTCTTCTGTTTTTTTTCATCGGACCTTGTATGAGCAAGCATCAAGCAGCACCAGCACATCCCGTACAATCTGATTCGACTCTTCGTAGGCTTCCAGCGAATTTAATTTGGCCTGCCACGTGGGAAAAGTAACCATTGAAAGGTTGCAACAAAACTGGCAGAAGGCTCAACCAAACATGAACCTGAACGCTTGTTCCTTGCTATCCATGCAACCTGCAGGCACTGTCCATTGTCTGTTGTTTCCACGTCTTCACAGTGCCGGGGCCAGTGCCACAACGCGGCATGCCCTGCACGCCCTGCACATCCTGCACGCCCGGCATGCCCTGCATGGCCTTGTCTCCACTCAGGGCAGGTTCAAGCCTGCACAGGCAGCGCACGAAGCAGAAAAGCAGCAAAAGACTTGACATGATCAGAAACAAACAGACCGGAGAGATACATGCAACCGTTTGACACTGGCACAAACACTCGTTTCGTGTTCGACGACAACAAGTCATATGTGATATGATAATTGAATGATAATATCTTATTGTTGTCATACAGGTATGTATACAAGCGCCATGAAGACTGAGCAGAAACTCTTGTGAAGGCCCTCACTGTCGGAGTTTGTTTTGCGATCCAATTGATGTCCTGAGTTCAACAGCAGGTCTTACTGCCAACTCTAAGCCAACTCCGAGATTTTTAATCATGTATAGTGACGGACAGTCACTTAGAACGTCAAAATTTTCCAAAATTTTGGACTCTCACACTTAGAACATCCAGAAACCCCACACTTAGAACATCCAGGGGCAAAATCAGTTAGAACATCCTATATGTAGGTTGATGGATGTTCTAAGTGTGAGGCTCCTTGCAACTAACCCTGGCTCCCCACACATAACATCACAAACAAGAGCTCGTTCAATTTTTTTCTTCGGTCAATAGATCATTTTGAAAACAATTATGTCAATAGATCATTTTAAATATATATGTTGTAATGTCTTGGGGTGTTCTAAGTGTGGGGGTCTCCACAGCTGATTTATAATTTTGTGTTCGTATAAATAGAGTTATGTCAATAGATCATTATAGATATATATATATATGTGTGTGTGTGTTGTAGTGCCTTGGGATGTTCTAATTGCGGGGGCCTCCACAGCTGATTGACAATTTTTTGTTTATATAAATATAGTTATGTCAATAGATCATTATATATATACACATGTTGTAATGCCTTGGGATGTTTTAAGTGAGGGGGTCTCCACAGCTGATTGATAACATTGTGTTCATATAAATAGAGATATGTCAATAAATCATTAAAGATAAATATATATATGTGTGTGTTGTAATATCTTGGGATGCTCTCAGCGCGGGGGTCTCCACAGCTGATTGATAATTTTGTGCTCATATAAATATAGTTATGTCAATAGATCATTATAGAAATATAAGTTTCTCCGCTTACATAAAATATGCATTTTTCAATTGCACAGGCAAATTTGCCGAAAATGTACTTAGAATATTCCCCCATTTCATGTTGTTTTTTTCTCCCCATTTGGCCTTGCTTTCGAAGCCTCTGTACATCTCTATGCGGCGGCGAAAAATGTACTTTTTAGTACACACAGCAATAAGAAATCGGTCAATTTGGGTACCCTTCCAGTTTTTGATGTTGGCACCAAACACCTTGTGAAAAACATACCTATCTGTTTGTCTGGAAACATGAAAGAATCTATATGGAAACAAGGTGGGCCAGAGAACCCAAAAGCAAGACGGCACACAGCACGATTTTTTTGAAAATCTTGTGGTGTGTGCTCTGCACGAAATCGACGTAAGATCTTTACTGAAACATCGTGCGCGCTGATGGTGTCAGGGGCCGCAATTCACCACAGCATGCTGTGTCAGCTACATCTACATTCTTCTAGTCGCTATTTCTGCTAATGTAATTAACTCTATCCCATCTTTTTAGCCGCTATAATTCCTGCGTTCTCGTTTAGTTTGCTTCGCCGCAGAGGGAGCGAGGACGAAGCGTCGACGGACAGAACACCGTGCAAAATGAAAACTAAACGACGGAGGGAGCTGACCAAAAGAGCATGAAAACGAAGATATGAAGGTGATAGGCGGTGAATGATAGTGAAAAATGAGACATGATGAAAAATGGGTAAAGACTTCTCTGTACAAAAGATTCTTTGCATAAATGCTTCTGTATGTAAAAGCTCCTCTGTGTTAAGATTTTGTTTGTGTAAAACTTCTGTGTGCAAAAGCTTCTCTGTGTAAAAGACTTCTCTGTGTCAAAGCCTCTGAGTGTACAAGCTTCTCTGTGTAAAAGTTCCTCTGGGTAAAAGCTCCTCGGTGAAAAAGCTGCTCTGTGTAAAAGGCTTCTCTGTGTAAAAGCCTCTGTGTGTGTGTGTGCAAGCTTCTCTGTGTCAAGATTTCTTTGTGTAAAGATTTCTCTGCGTAAAAACTACTCTGTGTAAACGCTTCTGTGTGAAAAAGCTTTCCTGTGTAAACGCCTCCGTGCGTAAAGACTCCTCTGTGTAAACCTGTCTGTGTGTAAAAGCTCCATTGTGTAAAGGCTTGTGTAAAAGCTTCTGTGTGTACAAGTTTCTGTGTGTAAAAGTTTCTGTGTGTAAAGCTTCTGTGTGTAAAGGTTTCTGTGTGTAAAAGCTTCTGTGTATTAAAAAAACCCTATGTAAAAGCTTCTGTGTAAAAAAGCTCCCCTTTGTCCTGTGTGTACAAGCTTCGCTGCGTAAAAGCTGCTCTATGTATATAAAAGTTCTGTGCGCCGTAAAGTCTTCTGTTTGTATAAAACCTCCTGTGTGTGAACGCGTCTGTGTGTACAAGATTCTGTGTGCAAAAGCCGTGCTGTCTCGGTCCCTCCCACCGAAGATCTCCCCAAGCTATTTCCACGCTTTCCTCCCAGCAAAGCTCTCCCCAAACTATTTCCACGGTTTCCCCTCCGTCCAGCATGCTGTCTCGCTCCCTCCCGGCGAAGCTTTCCGCAAGCTATTTGCACTGTTCCCTCTCCGTCCCGCATGCTGGCTCGCTTCCTCCCAGCAAAGCTCTCCGCAAGCTATTTCCAACGTTTCCTGTCCGTCCAGCATGTCTCGCTCCCTGCCAGCGAAGCTCTCCACACGCTATTTGCACGTTATTTCCTCTCCGTCCAGCATGCTGTCGCGCTCCTTCCCAGCGAAGCTCAATGCAAGCTATTGCCCTGTTTTGTGTCCCGTCCAGCATGCTGTCTCGCTCCCTCCCAGCGAAGCTCTCCGCAAGCTATATTTGCACGGTTTCCTCTCCGTCCAGCGTGCTGTCTCGCTCCCTCCCAGCGAAGTTTCCCCAAGCTATTTCCCCGGCTTCATCCCGTCCAGCATCCGGTCTCGCTCCCTCCCACAGCGAAGTTTCCCCAAGCTATTTCCACGGCTTCATCCCGTCCAGCATCCGGTCTCGCTCCTTCCCAGCGCAGTTTCCCCAAGCTATTTCCACGGCTTCATCCCGTCTAGCATCCGGTCTCGCTCCCTCCCAGCGAAGTTTCCCCAAGCTATTTTCCACGTTTTCCCGTCCAGCATACTGTCTCGCTCCCTCCCAGCGAAGTTTCCCCAAGCTATTTCCACGACTTCATCCCGTCCAGCATCCGGTCTCGCTCCCTCCCAGCGAAGTTTCCCCAAGCTATTTCCACGGCTTCATCCCGTCCAGCATCCGGTCTCGCTCCCTCCCAGCGAAGTTTCCTCAAGCTATTTCCACGGCTTCATCCCGTCCAGCATCCGGTCTCGCTCTCTCCCAGCGAAGTTTCCCCAAGCTATTTCCACGGCTTCATCCCGTCCAGCATCCAGTCTCGCTCCCTCCCAGCGAAGTTTCCCCAAGCTATTTCCACGGTTTTGTCCCGTCCAGCATCCGGTCTCGCTCCGGTCTCGCTCCCTCCCAGCGCAGTTTCCCCAAGCTATTTCCACGGCTTATCCCGTCGAGCATCCGGTCTCGCTCCCTCCCAGCGAAGTTTCCCCAAGCTATTTCCACGGCTTCATCCCGTCCAGCATCCGGTCTCGCTCCTTCCCAGCGAAGTTTCCCCAAGCTATTTCCACGGCTTCATCCCGTCCAGCATCCGGTCTCGCTCCCTCCCAGCGCAGTTTCCCCAAGCTATTTCC